TCCTGCCCGGCCTGCACCTGCCCTGCCTGCCGCCAGGCCTCTACCAGCCCGGTAAGGCCGCACGGTCCCGCCGAGGCCGGCCCTCTGCCCCCGAGCTTTCCCGCCGAGGGAGGGGGTCGCTGGGGCTCCCGCTGCCCTCGGAGCTGCTCCCGGGCCCCCTCCCCGCGGCCTTCCCGCTCGTAACGTAAAGGGCGATAAGGTGGCTGGTAGCGAAAGTGCTGTGGGTGCAGGTGACCGCAAAAAAAAAAATAATAAAGCTCTGGAGAAGTGTTTGCTTCGAAGTGTCTTTGTTGTGAAGCGCTTTACATCGGTCCTGCCCGGGTCAGGTGGCTTCTCAAGCAGCTGGCTTAGTAGGACTTCACCTGCAGTAGCCACGCGTCTGGCTGCGTTTGGTCTTGTGGTGTTCATTGGGCGTTTTGTTTTCTTCGTGCTTGGAACCTGTAAGGTTAGAAGTAAGGCTAGGTTGGCTAGAGGTGACTTCATAGAATGCACTGTAATAGAACGGCTTCAAACCAGTGTGTAAATTACTGCTTTGCCCAGAGCATCCAGGTAGGAGGTGGTTTGGTGAGCTTTGTGAGTCCTTCCTACAAGGTTCTTATGGCTTGGCCATTGTTGTAGAGGTGTGTTAGACCATGAAATACAGCCCTGAGCTTTAAACAGATGTTGAAATGAGGCTTCAATTTTGTGCTGTGACAAGAGTGTGATGAGTATCCGTGTAAAAAGGGTAAATGATCCCTTTCCAGTCTTGTACTCAGAAGAGAATAACTTTCTAAATTTGTCTTTGTTTTTAGTTGGAAGTGCTTAGACTTTGGTGCTGGAATGGTGTGTGTGCAAATCTTCAGCACAGTGGGGTCACAGATTATGATTAGTGAGGGCAGACAGTGATCTCCAACATATAGCAAAATGTATTGTGAAGTTATCAAAGCACCATGGTCTTCTAATTCCTGTAAGGCATTAGTATGTAATGATTGGATCTTCAGTATTTCAAGTGTCTGCAGCTGTCTGCTGATTGTGGAAAATCCCATTTCTTATTATATTTCCAATTTTTGCCATAGTCTTTTTTTGTCCCTGCAGACTAGTAAGTACATTTAATTTCAAAACCATGTAGCTTAAGGTCCCTTCCTGTAGTGTCTGAGAGAGATCATATATGAGAGATACTGAAATGCTAGGCAGATTGTTAGTGCTATTAAGAGTTGTGGGCTTTGTTGATTATTTTTGTTTGTTTCTTTAGCATCTTCACAAGAGCACAAATTAAATTTCAAGAAGAGCAAGGAAGCATGTTTAAGTTACATTCAGGATGCCATGCTACAAAAGCAGTGGAAAAGAGCAGCAGAGTTTCTGACCTTCTATATTGAGTCAATAGAGAAAGACTTTTCTAGAGAATATGTGAATCCTTCAGAGGTAAGCCAGTATCCCTTATCAGAGTTCTTTTGCAGTTGAAAAAAATATTGCAGGAAGCATCTCTAATACACCAGGAGCAACACACGTCTTAACTAATCATAGGCTTGATTTTTTTTTTTTTTAATTAAATTTTTAATTTAATTTTCGGGTAAGACCTGAAAAATCAGGCAGCTTTCACAAACATTAGTAGCTTCTTTGTTTCTCAAGGCAGCATGCTGTCCAGTTACTTAACAAAAATCTGTGCTGCACAGACGTGCCTCTGCTGGGGATGTAACCAATCTTGCTGGAGCTTGAAATCTGCTAAGGTCTCCCTCTCAGAGGTGCTGAGAATCTGCAGTGCTGCCTGACCTTTTTCTTGAGAGAGTGCTCAGTGCTTCTGAAAAGTCCTTTGGGCTTGCAGGCTGATTTTGTGGGGTTTTGTTGGAGTGGTTTTGTTTTGTTTTTTACATGGGCCCTTGACACGACAGATTAAAACTTGGCTTGGTGTAAGTTAATTCCATCAGAAACATATCTATGAAAAGTTGTCTTAATGTAGTCTTCTAAAATGGAAAAGCAGTACGTGTGCTTGCTACTGGTATGCATTAGCCAGAATCTGAAAGTCAGTGGTTTATTTAGGTGTTGACTAGCTCTTCCAACACTTAAAAAAACTCCTGAGGTGCTGAGATAGAAGCAGGAGGGAAAAGATCAGAGTTCTTACATAAAGTAGGGCACTTGAATATGGCTAAACTGCTGGGATGTTTGGTTACATTGTGTAGGCAGACCTGGAAAACAAGTGCACATAGATGGAAAGGTACATCTAGTTGGAAGCAATCTTTACTGCCTAGGTCATAGAATTATATATACCTTGTGTCTTAGTGGAATAAAAGGAAAACAGTTGTTCTCAGCAATGGGAAGGGAAACCTTCTGACAAATGCAATTTGCATAAGCTTTGATGAAGCTTTTGGTGATTGCTCATTTGTAATGAGCAGTTATGAAGCATCAACTGAATGATTGTAAAAATGCTACTAAATGAGCATGGAGATAACTATAGCAGTAGACAGCACTTAGTATTGATTTTTATTTACTATTCAAATGTACATTTTATTTATATGCTACAGTAACTAAAATTTTGAGAAGACTGTGTATATGGTGACTGGTGCCATTTTGGTACTAAGGTTATTTTTAAATCTCTTTCTCCCCATTGATAGATTATTTGGAGAACAGGAACTGAGATTCTGTGCCATCATTCCCGTGGCAGCATGAGAGAGTTCAACTCCTTCATAGAACAGATGAAAACTTTGGGAGTAAAAAGGTATTTAAAGGTGAGTGTACTTGATGCAATCTTGGTTTTCCACATGTTTACCTAAAGTTGAGTATTAGTTTCTGAATTGCTCTCTCTTGAAGTGTATTGCTGAAAATAGTGTAAAAAAAATTAGTACATCTTGCATGGTATGTTAAGGGTTATTTTGTATCTAGCCATATCACATTTGCCCTATATATTTTGTCACAGGTGTGTGTTGTCAGTTCTTAAAAGTACCTAAATCCTTTAGTTAATATTTTAATTTGAAACCATTCCGTTATTTTTCATGCACACCCCAGTAATGTGTAATTACATGTTAACAGCTGCCCCGTTTTTTTTCTGCTCCTTTAACTTGGCCACTGTGCTACTGACTAAACAGTTGTACTTAAATTTTGCCATCATTATCTGGTCACTTTCCAAGCAGCTAATCTGTATATAAAACAACAGGCCATATACTGTGGACCCTTGTCTCTCAGCTCTAGTTCTTTTTATGTGGTGGCTTATTCAAACCTATTCAAACTGTTTAGGTTTCCTTGACTGTTTCTCACTCGTCACAATGCTTCTGTCTTTCATTCTGTGGTATTTGTTCAAAACCTTCAGTGGAAGTTCTATACAAGAGTTTACTGGAGCTGAGAGTTCAGACTTCTATTCAGTTCCTAACCAACATGATAGGGAGGCAGGACATCCCTCTTTCAGGTGTTCTGCAGCTGGGTAGCCAAATCAATCAGCAAATGTAACCTGACTGGATTTCCTCAGGTCATATCTGTGTGATCTTAAATAGGTGCAGCACTTTTAATGACAAGTGGGTTCTGTTCTCAGGGATTTGTCTTTATATATCAGATGCCTTTTGATTACTGTTGTTTCTCCAGCATCTTCATACAGAAAAAAAATACTTAGGTTCTCAGCTCATTTCCCTGTTCCCAGTGGCACTTGTATTCTCCCATGGATGCGTTTTTCTCCAAAATTCCTTGTAAAGATACTATTTGGATAAAACAATATGTGTAAAAGGGTATTCTAATTAAAATACTCCACTAACCATTTTTGCAATATTTTTATCTGCACTTCAGTAGTGAGTCTCTTCTTTCCCTGCACATCTGTGTAGTGCTGTACTATATTGCTGAGATTCTCTCCATGTATGATGTGAAATGCTGTGGTATGGACTACTTGAATTGCAGGTTTGTTTAGAGCATGCCTTTCACCTCCTTTGCAATGGACTAATAGACGATGCTTACCAAAACCTGTCCCTGGCAGAAAGTTGGAGGTATGGAGAGCAAACAGCCATTCAGGATAAAGAAATGAAACTGATTCAAGCTTACAGGGGGCTGTTGGACTACTATAGCTGGTCTAAGCAGAAGAACATCCTATTAGAGCATGGTAAGTCCTAGTGTTGTATCAAGCTGTAAACTTCAGCCTGCTTGCTTGTGCAAACACCATGGTTTGCAATGACACCTTTTCCATGCAGTCTGCTCTTTTGCATGTAAAGGCACTAGAGAGAAATAAGAGACTTAAAACTATGATGTTATCAATGGTACATAATTCAGTATCAGCAATGATGATGGTACCAAAATGGCACATTGAGCTGCTCTTCTTTATAGTATCTTGAAGTATTCTGAAACTTGCACCGCTCCCCAGTCATATTTTTTGTATCCAGCCAGCATTACCTAAAAAATTGAAGGAAGGTATTCACTTGTAGCAGTGGCTTCCTTTTAGGGACATAAGTGCTTGACTGCTGCTAGAATTTTGAGTGCTAGCAAAAACCCCCAACACTTGTGTTTGGATCTAAGTTTCTTTGAAGATACACGAGTTGCTACTTTGGTCTTGCTTCTTCTGCATATACTTGCTGGCTGTGCATTACAAGTTACAGTATACACGAGTTGCTACTTTGGTCTTGCTTCTTATTCTGCATATACTTCCTGACTGTGCATTACAAGTTACAGCGGGTCTTTCCTTGTTTCTGTGAAAACTAAATATTGAATTTGGTTGATGAACCTTGTGCTGGTAATGACTTGTCTTGGGATATTGCTGCCTGTCATGCCCCATGAGTTGAAATTGGTTGATAAGAAATTTGAATGAAGAGCAGTGAAAATTTCTTATGCCAATACTGAGGAAACTGAAGCCACTTTTCTAAAAGCTCTCTGGAATCCTTGTATAGCAAAATGTGATTACCTTTTAAGTGCAGCATTCCTTGAACATCTTTTTTGATTAGCAAAGCTAAATTTGTGGCTTTCTTTCATGTTTTGGTAGGGCTGGATGGATTTGAAGACTTGTCTATTGAACAGGAGATGCACAGTTGCTTTCGGAAGGCAGCAGTGAACTTAAAGGAGATTATTAAAATACCTGGAGTCTGGGATCAATTTGTGAAATGCTATGTGGATGTAAGGGCACGTTTTACAGATTATCTTCCCTTTGTGTTTCCTTGTCTAATTTTTTTAATATGTCTTTCTTCAGCTTTATGTGGGTGGGTGACAACAAAGTATTTGTAAGACAACACATCTTTATATATGTCTCACTGGTGTTGATTTAGAGCACAGTTTACTCCCAATAGAGTTGCAGAGCCTGCACAGAGTACAAAAAGGACTTTATCTGTGCATTGCCAAGAAAAAGAAATAGACAAACAGCTTGCATGTTTTGTTTTCATGGTGCTAGTGCAGAAATTGGAGCACAGCTGCTTTGTTTAAATTTCTTTTCAAAAACAAGTTTTTCTCTTTTTGGCAGGGCAGCATTTTTCTGGATGCACTAAATGTTAAAGACACCAACATTACAGTCCCTCTGTTGTGTTGTTTATTTTTTTTTTAATATCCATTTAGAATTTGTAATTTTAAAAAAAGTTAATAATAAGGTCTCTTTGAAATTATTTACTTTTTGTAAATGCTGCTAAGCTCTCACTTCTCTAAGCACATATTTTGGAGTTTTGCTTGGTGCTGACATCTGCCAGGTTCTCTCACTGAGTTAGCTCTTTAAAGACATGACAAACTGCTTCAGTGCCTCTTTCCAGTGAGAAAATGCTGGTAATTTTTTGACAAGTAAGTGTTAAAGGAGTTTTCTCCTGTAGCAACTTATGTGTGTGAATGTTTGTCTATCTGTAACACAACAGTAGCCAGTAAAATGAAAATATGCTACTGTTAGTCTTACCTGATATGCTGCACTCTTAGGTACAGACTGTGCTATTGGGTAGTTCTTTGACAACCCAAAATTAGTTGTAAGATTATGATTGCTAATATGTGGCAAACTAATGACAGACTTAACTTCTTTTAGTTGTTGGAGTTCTATGGAGACCATAACGAAGCCCGCCAAGTATTAAATGAATATGCCTACAACTCAAAGTTTCCTGCTAATCCCAATGCTCATGTTTACCTCTACCAGTTCCTGAAGAGACAAGGTGCATCCAAGAAATCACTCATAACTGCGCTCAAGGTATATTATAAAGAAGATACAGTCTGTGGTCATTCATGTTTCATGGTGGTCTCACAATTTGACTCATTTGAACTCCTGTTATGTTTTTTTACCCTATCACATTCTTTCTGGGAAGTAGAGGACTAGAAGAAAGTTAGTGGGAGGGATGCTAATGGGTGGAGCAAGCAGCATCCTTTGAATCTTTTAATTTTTTTTTGCCTTTAACTGATGCGTGTACATCTTACTGAAGTCAGTAAACAGTCTTAGAGAATATGTTTATGTAGTTGCAGAAATCTGTAGCAGCTTTCTGGTACATAACATGCATTGATTTCTTTTACAGTTTGATCTTTACAATATTGAATAAATTATTAGCTGATTGCTGTTTCTCATATTGATTCCATCTAATAATTAGTTTCTCTGCTTGTTTTCTATGGGGCTGTGCATTTAAGCTAAAATAGAAATTAGTTCCTGCTGGATGTTAGTGAACAAGGCCTTGCTGTATTAAGCTTTTGTGTAGCTTTTGAATTCCTGCTTTCCTTGCCTTTGCTCATTGATCTTGGTACCTTCTTCCAAACAAAGTTTTGCAATCTGTTTTGCCACTTGATGGCACTGACGTACTTTCATTAGGGCAGATGTTTTCCAGCAGCTTCAGTACAGTTTAGACTTCTAAACTGTAACATATACATAAAATTCTGTCTTTTCAGTGCTTTTTATCAGCAGTTTTATAAATTATTCTCTGACAAGTTTGACAAATCAAAGTACTGGTCTGATAGGTCCAGAGACCATGATCCAATGCACAGAGTAGTAGACAGGGGAGCTAGAACTGGCCTAGGAAGGACATTATGTTGTCTTCTTAAAAGCAAACACTGGTTTAGGCTATTACTTGGCAGTGTTGTATTTGTCGCACATTGTTTTTCAGCAGCCATCAAGGTATCTCATCTATTGTGTCAGAGTTGTGTCATAGATGTGCAAAATGGACCTAGATATTTAATCTTTATATTAAGGTGTCAGATTGTGTAATTCTCCTAACTAAACCACCCAAAACTCTGAAGTCTGTGCTTCTCTTGATCAGGTAGAAGTCTTCAAAAGTTTTTATATTCAAATAATGTATCTGAGTTTTGTGGCTTTATTTTTATTTTTCAGATCTTGCATGATGTTGTTCCTTCTCATGAACTAATGATAGATTTTAATACCATGCTTCAAAAATCAAGTAAGTCTTTAAATATCTTTGTTATTTTACTTTATGTTAATCTAGAACAATATTCTGAAATTATTCTGCAGCCTTCTTTCTGCTTTCCCAAGTAATTTTGTTAAGAAAAAAAAAACAACTAATACAAACCCCAACTTTCCAATCTTTAGGAATCTTTAGGTTAGATGTGTGAGCAGGCATTTGCAAACTTCTGTAAACAAATGCCTTTCTCACATGCAAACAATCATAAGGCACAGCCAGGATCTTAAAATTTAACTTTTTGTTTGAGGTACTCTAAATGCCAGGGGTTTCATTTGCTTTTTGAAGTCTCTGGTTTGTTTATTTCTTCTTTCTCTTCTGAATGAATTGAGATAGATCTGTGCTATAGTTCATTGTTACTGATCAAAGAACATCTTCCTTCTCTTCAAGGGAATTTTCAAGCTGGTAGAAAAGTCTTCCAGTTTGGAGACTGTTTTTCAATGCTGATCAATTCCATTCCAAGCTGTCTCTCTTCTTGTGACCTGATATGTTTCAGCAAGTCAGCAGACTAGTGAAATGTCATTGAATCAAGATTGCTCTGGTTGCTGCTTTTTCTCTTTGGAAGCAGAAATAAAACCCCTCCTGGCCAAAGTTTTGTCTTTTTTTTTTTTTTTTTTTTTTTTTCCTGTTCATGCATGACACATTTGCTTAGCTTTTCATAGCTAATGAGGACAATCTGATTTTTAATAAAATCAATACTCAAACTTTTTCCACATTTACCCGCTGTGGTAGGTCAAATGTTGTTTTAAGAACTCTGCAGATCGTAACTACTGGTGTGAAATGTCTGATTTATTCAGACCAGTACCAGACCTGATATTTTTGGTGGCATTTCAGCATTTGAAGTGTTCCAAAGGTGCATGGTGTGCTCTTCCTATGGGAAGGGCGAGT